CTTTTCTCTCTTTTTTCTTTCTCTCTTTCTCCCTCTCTTCTCTTTCTTTCTCTCTCTCTTCTCTGTCTTTCTTTCTCCTCTCTGTCTTTTTCCCTCTCTCTCGCCTCTTTCTTCTCTCTTTCTCTCTTTCCCCTCTCTCTCTTTTCTCTCTCTCTCTCTTTCTCCCTCTCTCTTTTTCTGACTATGAACGAATGATACTAGACCTGTGAAATCGTGCATGCATTAATTCCAACTCTTCTTATTAATAACTGCATTGTTTCTTTCCAAGACCGACGGTGGGCTGAAAAGTTCATAGGCTGACTATGAAGGAATGATGCTAGAGGTCTGAAATATCTGATTCTGATTAATGACTGCATTTTTGTTTCCAGGCAAACTGACGTCTAACTTTTCAAAGAAGACTTAAAAATAACTAGTAGCAGCTGCTCTTGAAATTGGACATTTAGCATCGTGGAATTCTCAAGTACTTGCAGAAAAAAGTGTTTTGGCCCCCAAAGACATTTATGCTGACATCGTTGCTATGTTAGGAGATAATGTTCCAGCTTTGTCATCAGTGCAAATGTGGACAGCTGAATTTAGGAGAGCAAGGGGGTGTCTTGAATATGACGCAATATTTGAATGTTCTGAAACTATCAGCACCAAGGAAAACATTGATCCTGTTTACCACATGGCGATGGATGACAAATGTTTGAGTATAAATAGCCAATGCTATTAGCAAATCTTGTGAGAGAATTGAGGATATTTTGTACAAGGGTCTTGGCATGACGAAGTTTTGTGGTCGATGGATGCCACGTCTTCTTACCTGACCTGTGTTGACCATATTCACCATAGTGTATGAATATAGAATACAGTGCAGTACGTAATCTGTTCAATGTAACAACGTTAAAGATTAATACTCACGAGTCAGACACTCTACTGAATCTGACTATATCGCCAATACCACCAGCAGCTGTTCCGTAATTCTTCAGTCTTCGATATCAAAGGCTGGGAGTGAGATATAGCCACCCCCCACAAGGGTTACATGTGGCACAAGGCCGGGATTAACGTGGGATCTTCGAGCCCGTAGGCTCGGTCAAATATATTCCCTATTCGAACGCGTATAAACGGGTTCAGGGGCAGTCAACCTCCCGGAACGAGACTCTGCCCTTCGGCGGAGCCTCGTCTAGATTATCAAAGGCTGGCAGTGATATTTCCCCCCACCACGAGGGTTACATGTGGCACAAGGCCGAGGTTAACGTGGGATCTTCGAGCCCGTAGGCACGGCCAAAAATATTCCCTATTCGAACGCGTATAAACGGGTTCAGGGGCAGTCAACCTCCCGAACGAGACTCTGCCCTTCGGCGGAGCCTCGTCCAGATTATCAAAGGCTGGCAGTGATATTTCCCCCACCACGGGGTTGGGCATGTGGCACAAGGCCGAGGTTAACGGGGATCTTCGAGCCCGTAGGCACGGCCAAAAATATTCCCTATTCGAACGCGTATAAACGGGTTCAGGGGCAGTCAACCTCCCGGAACGAGACTCTGACCTTCGGCGGAGCCTCGTCCAGATTATCAAAGGCTGGCAGTGATATTTCCCCCCACCGCGAGGGTTACATGTGGCACAAGGCCGGGGTTAACGTGGGATCTTTGAGCCCGTAGGCACGGCCAAAAAAATATTCCCTATTCGAACGCGTATAAACGGGTTCAGGGCAGTCAACCTCCCGAACGAGACTTGACCTTCGGGGAGCCTCGTCCAGATTATCAAAGGCTGGCAGTGATATTTCCCCCCCACCGCGAGGGTTACATGTGGCACAAGGCCGGGGTTAACGTGGGATCTTTGAGCCCGTAGGCACGGCCAAAAATATTCCTTATTCGAACGCGTATAAACGGGTTCAGGGACAGTCAACCTCCGGGAACGAGACTCTACCCTTCGACGGAGCCTCATCCGGGTTATCAAAGGCTGGCAGTGTATATTCGGGAAAAAACATGGCCGCCTTTATACACGTTGTATTGAATATTTTGAGCCTTCTGATTGGTTAACCCTTTTCTTATTGAACTATAGAATGAGTCAGCTCATTTTGGCTGGCTCACTAGTACACCAGGATAAATTCCAACAACCTGATCAAAAAAGCAGTCCAAATAATTTAGAAGTTGTTTTTGTCTTAGACGTGTTGCTAACCGAATATCTTAGTCTGAACTACTACTAAACTGTTAACAGCAGAGAAGAAAAGATGGGTTCGTAACTTTCTCATTATTATCTGCGTGAAAATGAATAGAATGAACTCGATTGGAATTCAAGCACAGAGTTAGTGCCAATTCTCTAGTATCGGAATCTTTGAATTCTGATAATTCCTGAATTTCACCGCCCTGTTGACACCTATAATGGACACTTCATGATACGTTTAGAGTACTTACCCACAATTAAAAAATTGTTACCAACTTCTTAATTAATAGAAATTTATGAGAAATTAAAATTCCAGGTTCTTCGTATTAAATTAGTTAAAAGCAGGAGTCCTTGGAGAATTTAAATCATCATTTTGTTTTTGTTAAACATAAACACCACTTCTCGAAAATCTGCTCTGAATCATAAAATAAAAAGTAATAAAGCTATGACATTATTTAATTAAAAAAATGTTTTTAATTACTTTTATAAATAAGATATATTCAGGACAGTTATCTTAAGATTTCTTTCGGTAAATAATGAATATTTACATGAATTGTTTTCATTTATTTCAAATTTTAATTATAAAAATTATTAAGTTTTAAATCTTTTAAAATTCTGTATTAATTTCAGCGATTTTAATGATATTATTATTAAATGAAAACTATATTTACTTATCATAAATGGAAAAGCTTAATACAAATCATCAAACACCAATATTTTGACGCGTCCTGGGTAAGACGATAAACTACAGCAAGGCCTCTGGAGGAGGTTTTGAGGATCGTGGAACAACCTCTTAATTGCTGGTGTTCCCAGGTCCACCCTGAGTCGGAGTGGTAGCACCTGTTAGTTTGTCAACTATGGGCAAGTAGTTAAGCCCGAAACTGGTGTCATAACACTAAGAAAGTGTTAAATAGATTTTAATACCAGCAATAAATTTTTTGAGGAAAAGTCATTACCAACAATACAAATATTACGGGCAATACATTTTTGAAGAAAAAAATATTACCAACAATACATTTTTGAAGAAAAAAAATATTACCAGTAATACATTTTTGAAGAAAAAATATTACCAGCAATAAAAATCTTGTCGGCATCAAATAACCCATTGAGGTTGATATGCTAAGTACCTCCACGAGATCGCTAAAAAAAGAGCATAGCATGATGAAAAAGACGCCCAACTTGACGAAAACAGTTTTTTTTTTTATTTTAAATAAATATTATAATTTTTGATTTTCTTAAAATAAGTTTTGAAAAAATGATAATTGATATTTAAAAGAATTTCAAAGTGAGATTTCCAGTTTTTTTATAAAATGAAAAAATGGTCAATTTTGCTGACACAAAAAAATTTCGGGCGTGCTAGGAACGATTACAAAATGTAAAAAAAAAAAAATGCCCCCAAAATACTTTGATCTTTCCTCTTAATAATTACATAAATATTTAGACGATAAAATTTTGTTTTCGGCAAGGTTGGCGTCTTTTTCATCAAGCTATGCTCTTTTTTTCGGAAGTAGTAAAACAAAATAAACCAAACCAATTCGTGGAAGTACCTATTCATAAAATCAAAATAAAATAAACCAATTGATAAAAACAAAGAATAAACAATCTAAAACGAAAGAATACTATTCATTCATACGAATCTATCCTAAATGTTGTCGGCATTAAATAACCCATTGAGGTTGATATGCCGTAAAACAAAATAAATCAAACTAATCTAAACCAAAGAATACATATTCTATTCGTACGAATTTATCCTAAAAATGTTGTCGGCATTAAATACCCCATTGAGGTTGATATACCGTAAAACAAAACAAACCAAATCAATATTTTTGAAAATAATTTTCAATTCTTTTTATTAGTCTGTAAACGTTACGGAGGAGCATATACGACAGAAAATAGAAACGATGGCTATAGTAAATTTAAAGCGAAAATATCTAAAATTCAATAAATCATTAGATTACGGAGTGTATTTTCCTCAATCTTTAAAAAAACTGATTACTTAAAAATTACTATAAAAAGGCGTTTACATCATTTTCTTCAATTACGTTTTAGAAGTAAAGTCTCTGTAGATCTGTCATCACCTTGTAAAATCACGTAAACACGGCTACTGTCGGTAAAAACACAGCTACTGTCTGGTTAAATAATGCATGTCTGCGATATTTTAAACTTAAAGTACATGATATTTAAATTATTTACATTATTCGGACTATTGTCCTCATCTTTGTCGACATATTTATTTGCAACGTTTCGGCCGTTGTACGCCCCGGCCTTCTTCATTATCTGTCTATATTTCTGAGATGAGGTATTATGATCATTATTTACATTATTCGGACTATTGTCCTCATCTTTGTCGCCATATTTATTACAACGTTTCGGCCATTGTACGCTTTGGCCTTCTTCAGGTAGTTGGAATTTCGAACTGAACCCTTTATTTCGCTCACTATGGTAGACTGTTCTGGTTCCACGTGCTATGTTTGATGGATGTCAGTTATCAGTTATCTCCTGCTAATTTCCCTCTGAAAGTTCTCCACTGCCTTAACGGGGTATTGAACTCACACTCGTTGCGTCCTGTCACTGGATCTAACTAACGCCTTTAGCCATGTGTCCTTGAGTGAGTGAGAAAAATGAAGGCGTTCAGTTCGACATTCCAACCACCTGAAGATGGCCGGAGCGTACAACGGCCGAAACGTTGTAATAAATATGGCGACAAAGATGAGGACAATAGTCCGGATAATGTAAATAATGAACGTATAACCTACTTAGTAAGTATGAGTAAATTCCGTTTTCTGGAGCAAATTGAAATGACGTATCTAGACCTACGTACTGTTTGTGCACCAAAACATTTCCTGCATAATTAGTCCTGTATGTCCGTTAAATTGAGTGAGTATTATAATATGAAAATTTCAGCTCAGAATTGATGTAGCGGTTCTATAGCATAAAGACGAAGAGATTTGGAATCACTTAACTTCTAAATTTGATAAAGATACAGGAAAACAAAGCGTTTAGTCGCTGATCGGGAATAAAGCTTCGTCGCTTGAAATAAAATCAAAGCATTTTTTCTAAATTAGCTCAGTTCATCATATTTTTTTTTATCAAACTCAATCTCTCTCTCTCTCTCTCTCTCTATCTATCTATCTATCTATCTATCGATATCACTCTGTTCATATCGATATCACGGTCTGTTTATATCTATCTCCTCTGCTCATATCTATTTCTGTTTATATCTATCTCTATCTATCTATCTATCATCGATATCTCTCATGTTCATATCTGTTTATATCTATCTCACTCTTCTCATCTATTTAGCTATTACACTTTTTATCTATCTATCTATCTATCTATCTATCTATCTCTATCTGTTCATATCTATCTCTATTTCAATCTATCTATCTATCTATCTATCTATCTCATCATATCATCTATCTATCTATATCTATCTATCTATCATCTATCATCTATCTCTATCTATCTCACTCTGTTCATATCTATCTCTATTTCATCTATTCATATCATGTATCTATCTATCTATCTATCTATCTATCTATCTATCCATCTATCTATCTATTCATATCTATCTCTCTGTTCATTTATCTCAAATCTATTCACATGTATCTATGTATATCTGTCTCATGTATCATATCTGTCTATCTATCTATCTATCTCACCCTGTTCATATTCATATCTATCTATCTATCTCATCTCTGTTCCCTGTTCATATCTATCTATCTATCTATCTATCTATCTATGATCTATGCTGAAATTTCTATCTATCTATCTATCTATCTATCTATCTATGAGTGGGTGCTGGAAATTTCTCAGTTCGGCACACTTCTCGAAATCTAAACAAATGACCTAAGAACCATTAGAATATGTTGGAATAAAGTTGAGTAAATATGGAGAAAACAATTCCAAAAGCAGTATTAATATGCGATCTCAAGAACATCTTGTAAAACGAAATGAGAAAATTGATGTCGAAAAGTTCAGAGAGAAAAAAACAAAACAAATAAATATAAATAGGTGAAAGAAAAGAAAATATGAAAAAAATTAAAAAAAAAGAAAAACTGGAAGGAAGAAAAATGGCGACCAATGGCGATTAAATTCGATTTCGCATTTTTTTCTCTCTCTCTCTCGTTTGTAATAATGGCGACTTTGGCATTAAAAGCTATTGTGAAGTCAAAATGAATAAAAGCGATGTTTGGCATGAAGTCTGGAAGCTATGGAAAACAGGAAAGGACAGAACTGAGCGGAATTGCCTTTCTTGGAGAAAAAAAAATTCTAAAATCAAAGCAAAAATAAAACCTCACATGATGGATGACCAAAGACGATCATAGGGACAATATTGTCGATAATAATAATTAGTGGAAACAATAATACGGCTAGAAACAATCTTTCGATGTGAGAGCAATTTTCTCAGCATGGACGAATTGTGGATTTATACATCTGTAAGGTCCTCTTAAATGAAATATAGTGAGAGTCGTAAGATAACCGACAGTGACTTTAAATATTTAAAGGATTCTAATTTTTAATTAAACATGGGTTGACATGCAATGGCAATTTTATCATAGCATAAATAAAGATGTTAAATTTTATACAAATAATACTAACGTTAGCACACATATTCAAATAAATGTTTTTGAAACAGTGTAAATTTCGGCAGTAATCTTTCTGGCGAAATGCAAATGGCGATTGTCTCCATTTCACTGATATAGTCACGAAGGTCATATGACCTTCGTGACTATATCAGTAAAATGGCCGGTGTGTGATGATCATTCTGCTGTAGTATGTCTTTTACAGGCCTTAAGAAAATTGAAACGTTTCCATTCAAATAGCAACAAAGAATATTTATCAATATTGTAGCAACCGCCTTTCTTTTCATTTCCCGCACAGAAACTACAGCATTTTTGTCGACCGTAGTCACAGGCGATGGAAAACCCGTTCATCACAGTAACTTCTCGTTTAACGACATAAGCTTAACGACCACGGATTTACGACCAGGTATTAAAGCTTAAGAAATAATAAAAAAAATATCTAAGCAGTCGGTATTGTATCGGATACCGGCGAAATGCATTCATTTTTTTTATTTTTTTCTTTTGTTGCTAAATTTAAGCAAAAGAAAAAAAAAATGCTAAATAAAAAAGTAAGCACACAATGTGGAAGTGGGTGGCTTATTATTTCATGACATGATAACCCGGAACATTGACAGACCATGTTGCATTTGCATCGTTTATATATATATATATATATATATATATATATATATATATATATATATATATATATATATATATATCAGGCATGTTTTTGTTTGGTTTGGCTTGTTTTGTTTTACGGCATATCAACCACAATGGGTCATTTACTGCCGACAATTTTTTCTGTTAATATTTTTGTTTCGTCAAAAATCTGTTTCTGTTAATACTTTTTCCTCAAAAATGTATACTTGATAATTTTATTTTTCCAAAAACGTATAGCTGGTAATATTATTTTTTTAAAAATGTATAGCTGGTAATAGTTTGTTATTTAAAAAAAAAAAACTTATTATTCGTAATATTTTTTTTTCTTCAAAAATTTATTTCTGGTAATAATTTTTATACAAAATATTTTGGTATTAAAACCTATTTTTACACATTTATAATGCCTTTTACCTCAGTTTCTGGGTTAACTATTTTCCCATAGCTGGGACCATAACAGGTGCTAAACCCCGGGTCAGGATGGACCTGGGAACACCAGCAATTAAAAGGAGGTTCCACGCTCCTGAAAACCTCTGATTTCTGTTGGACGTAGTTTATCGTCTTAACCTGGACGCGGATGTAGTTTATCATCATACCCAGGACGCGGATGCAGTCTCAGTTTCGGGGTTAACAATTTGCCCGTAGATGGGACCTTAACAGGTGCTACCACCCCGGGTCAGGGCGAACTTGACAACACCAGCAATTAAGACGCACCTCAATGTCTCCTGATCAGAGACTTTGCTGTTGGACGTAGTTTGTCGTCTTAACCTGGACGCGAATGTAATTTATCGCCAAAGCCAGGATGCTAGGCATGTCTGATTAAATAAATTACAGACATTGGACATTGCGTCTGGTTATTTTTAGACTAATCGCTTCATACCCACTGATAACCTTCCGTGTGTTACAATCAAATGATGCAAGAAATGCACTAAAACTGTGAAAATTGCTTTTATTTCCCAAGTGTTTTCTGAGATCATCATCAGGAGTGAAAGTAGTACGACAAAACAATGTGTAGTTATCCATTACTGAAATGTTTAATGAACACTAAGCATGACTGTTAAACATCGCATTTAAAAGCAAAAAGAAAAAAAAGCAGTAATAGATAGCTACACACACACAGACAGACACACACACACACACACACACACACACACACACACATATATATATATATATATATATATATATATATATAGATAGATAGATAGATAGATAGATAGATAGATAGGATAGATAGAAGATAGATAGATAGATAGATAGATAGATAGATAGGGTGGATAGATAATAGATAGATAGATAGATAGATAGATAGATAGATAGATAGATAGATAGATAGATAGATAGATAGATAGATAGATAGGGTGTAAAAATAGATAGATAGATGGATAGATAGATAGTCTAGATAATTATCAATCTGACTATATATGTAGAATCCAAAAATCCTAAACTTATTTAGTTTCTTTTTTCTACGCTTTCTGATAAGACATTCAGCCATCTTGATACCATTTGTCGTATGAATCACTAAACAATCCTTTGAGTTATTCAGCTAGAAATAGAACAGGTAAAAATCGTTTAGTGTCAGCCCGGTTATGTCTCCCCAACTGAGCAATGGTGAGAGGAAAAGGATTATTCAGGCCTTTAGTAATGGTACGAACATTCATACCCTGGCTACCATCTTCAAAGTGCCGTCAAGGACCACCAACGGAACGGTGAATAATTTAAAAAAAAGAGGGAACAGTAGGGAGGAAAACTGGATCAGGAGGTCACAACAGGAAGAGGGATCACTATTTCAACTTAGAGCTAAATGCATTTTTATTATTCAAAGTAGTCATGTATTGTTATAAATACATATATATATATATATATATATATATATATATATATATATATATATATATATATGATATAAAAAAAAGCTCAAACACTGATATTCCATGGTCATAATTTATTACATTGGAATCGTAATCACGATCCTTATTCATCAGACCTACAAATTCAAAAAGAAATCGGAAAATATAACTCCGGGTCTAAAAAATAACATTTTAGTGAGATTGTATGTGTGGGAGTGAAAAACAATTGTGAGAGGGAAATGTATGAGGGTTCTAGACACGGGTGTAACAGAAGTAAGAAGAACAGGGAGGCCTAAAGGTGGGTGGATTAAAATTTAACAGAAAGAAGTTTTAAAGAGAGGAGTTAAATTTGCCTCATCCGGGTTCCTCTCTGCCAAAAGCAGAGAGTTTAACAGCAGGTGCGAACAGTCATAGCCCAGTAGAACAATCTATTCGACTGTTAATATTTCACAACGAGGGTGTATGTGGCACAAGCCAGGTTTATTGTGGGTACTCCGAGCCCGTAGGCTCGGACAAAAATATTCCCTTTGAACCCGCCTAAAGGGGTTCAGGGACTGTCTACATCCGCCGGACGGCAAAGCCTCGTCCGGGTTCCTCTCTGCTCGAGCAAAGAGTTCGACAGAGGAATAATCTATGCGACTGTTCCCCCAAGACCTTCTCTTCAACTAATCTTATAGTACGCGGAAGAGTCCAACATAGACTCTTTAGAGGGTGGACATCAGGACATATAAAATATATATATATATATATATATATATATATATATATATATGTGTGTGTGTGTGTGTGTGTGTGTGTGAAAGGTTGAAGTTTTCGGGTCTTGTTTTGAAACATGAGAACTCTTATGTAGCAAAGGAATATATATATATATATATATATATATGAATATGTTGTGGACTCTCCCGTCGTATTCGACGTATGAGGGTCAAGCAGCTCATGTTCTAGGAACCGGCATCAGACACCGGCACATATGATATGATTATAGCTGAAGGCTTTGTGCAACATAAACCCAACTTTTTGAAGGGTCACAAGTTTCCCAAACGACACGCCGCAAGTTTTGAATTCAGACTTATCCTTATCCATCCAAGGCTATATTTACGGAGGGAGAAGGGGATTAATACCTTTTCCCTTTTAGCATGTAAGTGAATGCAATCGATTCGAGCAGAATTCGAACTCGGCCCTCCGATTCGTCAATCCAAGCCGCTATCCACTACTCCACCGTTTTGAAAAGATTTCTTTTATTATAGTGGAGAGAAGATGGGATGTGATTAGTAAATTTTACACCCCTTTCATCCGCATAGCCTATGCTAACCTCCAGCAGAACATCTTCATCATTTCACCTTTCCCGCGGACATGAAGTGGAGTGATTATATTGAAACAACTGCTAGGAAATTTGGTTCGCTGTCTCGGGAACAGATTCTCTCACCAGAATCCATTTGGAACATTTATAAGTCTACCATTCGGTTGTATATAAAATATTGATGCCGCAACTGGTCTGGTGTTTCTGCTGAATATCTAGAGATTCTCGATAAAAACACAAATAAGGTTTCTTGCTTCACGGCCACGTACGATCTTTAAAAATTTAAATATAACACAAATCGCTTTCATCTGCCTTCCTCATACCTGCTATTTATTGACCTTTTAGTGGTCATTATCAATTTACTGGAACAAAAAAAATGTAGAGTCATTCCCCCGTTATGTTTTGTAAATTTAATTAAAACATTTGGTAGGGTTTTTTTCTTTGCTTACATTTAGGAAAAAATTGATTATGTCAGTATTCGATACAGTACTGACTGATCTGATATTTTACATTTTGGGGTGACGATATATATATATATATATATATATATATATATATATATATATATGAAAACTACATTTACAATTTCATGTATACGCAGAATGCAAATATATGCATATGGGAATGAGAAAATCTGTGGTTGTAACAATTATATATATATATATATATATATATATATATATATATATATATATATATATATATCAAGATGGAAAAAACTCATTGAAGTTAAAATTTTTCATTCTTCATATATATCATATTTTGTTCTTAAATAAATTGAGCTATCTTCACATATAACATATATATATATATATATATATATATATATATATATATATATACACACACACACACATATATATATATATATATATATATATATGAAAAAGACCTTTTGATTATATATATACGTATATATATATATATATATATATATATATATATATATATATATATATGTGGGGGGAGAGTGGTATTCTACACGTAATTCATATATATTTCCCTTGCAGACATTAAAATCAAAACAAATAAATTATGCCGATTAAATATTTGTATACATATTAAACCTAACTAACAAAATATACAGACATACATAGAAAATAAAACATATATAAATGCATACACACGCACACACAAAATACAAGCATGTATTTGTGTGAGTGTGTGCACAAGCCCAAATATATATACATACATTATTTACATTATTCGGACGATTTTCCTCATCTTTGTCGGCATATTTATTACAACGACCAAAACGTTGTAATAAAGATGGGGACAATCATCCGTATAATATATATATATATATATATGTATGTATGTATGTATGTGAGACTACATCTAAAATTTCATCTAGACGCAGAATGCAAATATATGCATATGGGAATGAGAAAATGTGAGGTTGCAACAATTATATATATATATATATATATATATATATATATATATATATATATACACACACACACACACACATATATATATATATATATATATATATATATATATATATATATATATATATGTAGTGTGGGGAGATAGCGGTATTCAGAGAAATCATTTTCTAGTTATA